TTCCTTACCCTTCCATCTTCATTATCTACCTGCTGTACCCCTTCTTCATTCTCCAGCTCCACATACCTGTTCTTGAGCTCTATTTTTCCTTCACTGACCCATCTTTTCCTCTGCCTGGTTCTCTTAGTCACATGCTTCCACTGTCCATTTTCTTCACCCAACAGTCCCCCCTCTGAGGCCCTTGATCCTGCTTCCATCTGCATATCTAAACTTTCCCCTTCAGCCACATCATGCCTTTGCTCCATCATCTGCTCAAACCCCCTTCTAAATTCGACCAGAATTTCCACCTGCATCTCCAATCCTCGGATCTTTTCTTCCATCAGCTCTATCAGGCGGCACTTCATACAAACAAAACTCCTTTCAGGTACCCCCTCCAGAATCATGTACATACCGCAGCTACCACATCCAATCATCCTCCTCGTGTTCTCTATTACTTGGGCCACGGCCACTACTACCTCTGTGTTTTATCTCCTTTCTCACCAAAATCCTATTAGTCTGGTGAACACAAAAACAAACCAAAACTCCCCTTCCACAGCAAAAACAAACCCCACAATCCAAACTCCCTTTACAAACTCAAACTCCCCTGTTTATAGCTCTGTTTGCTGGCTCTTGTGCCGCTGCAGCTATCTATGTCACATTCATGCTACAAAAATTATTTGTGAAACAAACAGAATTAACTTTGGTTCACAAAGTATATACCAAAAAACAAATAGTCTTGCAGTATCTTCGAGACTACCAAAACATGTAGATGGTAACATGAGCTTTTGTGGGCACAACCCACTTCTTCAGATGAATGAGTTGTGCCCATGAAAACTCATGATACCATCTACATGTTTTGTTAGCCTTTGAGATACTGCAAAACTATTCATTGTTTTTTAAGTTTTTCCTGTTACAGAATAACTCTGCTATCCCTCTAAAGTATACACCAGTTAGTTATGAACCCAGAAAGAATTAATTCCATGATATAAAATGGAAAGATGGTATTTCTGTTCTAGATAAATAAAATGCCTGGAATATTGTGTCTTCCCCATCAGCTGCTCTCTGTTGTCTTTTCCTCCAATTTTTTCATCTTCATTTCCCATTTATGACTCTCCTCCCTGCTTATATTCTTCATGTATTACCTTTCCCCTACATCTTCTTGTCATGTGCCTATGCAATGAAGAGTAACTCCTTAACCAGGCCCATTCACTGGAATGCTGACATTCAGTACATATTAGATAGCTAGAACTCTAGGGCTAGCCTTCACCGCTAAAAAAGATACGTTTTTACTAGTGGTAACTAACACGTGAAGACCAGGCCCATAGTTTACCATGAGGTAAACTCGTCAAGGCCAATCCCTGGAGGTGGTATAAAACTATTTAGCTTGACAACTTAATCTCACTTTCAGTTAAAGTGCCTGAGTTTCAGCATGTATTTACCTCAGGATAGCATGTGTGTTAGTTATCCCAAAGGAAAAAAATGCATCTTTTTTTTTGATGAAAACTAGTCCTTATTCTGTTCCCAGTCTAACAAGTGTATGTTAATGGGATAGGATGGACCTCCAAGAAAACCCCACCTTCTGTTCTAGGGAGGGGTCATTCCCATCTCTTTCCTCTGTTAAGTGAGAATTGCAAATTCTACCCACCTGCCATTCTTTGTCATATTCGCTTTTATACTGAAGTTCAAGCTTCAGGCACTTTGTTTTTGTCTTTGGTTTACTACATCCAACAGTAAGTGTATCTCCTTGCCAGTGGAAAGTTACATTTTCAGGTGGGTTAGGTTTTACTAAGGAAAAATAGACATAAAATATACAATGTTCTCTTAGAATGAACCATCACAACACACTTCAACAAGCAGCCTGGATCCCCCCGAGATACCCTGCAGGCAGTGTGTGGGGTGGGGGAGAGAGGCATGCAGGAGGTTGCGGCCCTTGAAGTGTTGCCCTCCCCCCCAGACAGCCTGCAGGTCATGGGGGGGGGCTGGAGGAGCAGCAGCCTCTGGAGCCTTGCACAGCCTACAGCACATGAGGGAGGGCAATTGGGGGGGGGAGGCTGGCAGGAGAGCACAACCCCTTGGAAGAAGTCACTGCTGGAGCAGTGCTTCCCCTACCTCCCAGCCTCCTCTCCTGAACCCCCTACCCTGAGTCCTGCACCTCCCACCTGCCTTGACTTCAGCCTCCCCTCCCCCTCCCCCGAATCCCCACACCTCCCAACCCTTTGAGCTAAACCACCCATCTCCCGCCCTTCCTCACCCCTGAACACTCACTCCAGCCTTCATTTTCCTTCATTTTTTGAAACATACAATCATTGAAATAACGTGTATATTTTTCATTTATTTAAAAAAAAAAATCTTCAGTTACAAACCAGAGCAATGCCAGGTAAATCTGCTAGTATAATGTATTTACCCTTCTACTATGAAAATGGAAACATGGCTACTAGTTGTTACTACATGTATGTTTACATGTCCTGCGTAGACACCTACATCGAATATTTCAAAATCCAAACATACCTACATTTTTGAGTATTCAAAATCCAAAACTGGATTTGAATTTTGGGGCCTTTATTGAAGTGAGTAGCTCCAGTGAAAACAATGTGACCACTGACGTAAGTGTTGAAGAAGCAGCCTTATTATACCCAAAGAAAGAACAATATTTTATTTTATTGATAATATTTGTCCATTGGACTAATTCATCATCTTCCTTGATAATATTTTATACTTTGCAACTGTTCTCTCTCTTTCGGTGCATCTACACAGCACCCTAAACTCAAAATATGATACACAATCTGCATTTCACAAATTGTGTATCTTATTTTGATTCTATTTCAAAATAGCTTATTTTGTAATTTGGCTTGTCTACACAGCACCAAATTTTGAAATAATGCACTATTTTGAGACATCCCTTAACTCTCATTGGGTAAGAATTACAGGGATGCTGAAATAGCGCGCACATTATTTCGATAAATATTTTGAAATAACAGGAGGCTTGTTAAGATGTAGGATACTGGAGGTAACCTGAAATAGCCGCACAGTGTAGATGTACCCTTTGTCTCAGACTAATTACAAAAGAACATCATTGAAGGCACTGCCATTACCAAGGAATTTGGTAATGTCATTGCTCAATCACTTACTGTAGAAATCAGTTTTTAATGATCGGTTGAAAAGCTCTTTACTTCCACTCTTATCCTTAATAGACATGGTAAGAGTCTTTCCCTCCGTCTTGAAGAAACAGCCAGAATTGTAGCCTTGATCAAGTATATAGTTGGCACATAGCTTCCAAACTCTGTTTTGAGAATGTGTGTCAAAACTATAAGTAAAAAGAAAAATAAAATTAGTTAACACAGTTTTATGCTATCTGTTGAAATAAGTTAGTTGCTTTTTGTGAGTTTAGATCAGAGCTACTCAACTTTGGAAGCCGTGGGGGCCACAATGAGACTCACAGAACATGCCGAGAACTGCAACTTAAGTGTAGTTGCATATACCTGCAAATATATATGCAAATATATGCAAATAGCTTCTTTCACACTGATGGGAATGAATACAAAGTTTAAGCATTAAGCCATGGTGCTGGACCCAAACATAGCCAGTATGAGCCAGTCAGCACCTCTCAGGCTCTGCCTGCAAGGCTAAGCAGCCAGCACTTCCCACAATGCCCCGGCTCTCTTGGCACCTCCTCCTTGGGGGCTAGAAATGCTGATACTCTATACCCATCTGTTCCAACCAGCCTGTCCTCTTGCATCTTTCAATGCTCTAGGAGATGCCTCGCTGTTGTGGAGAGTGTTCCCCGTGGAGGCCATGTTTAAAGGATTCCACTTGCGGATCGCGTGTTGAGTAGCCCTGCTTTAGATTATTAAAATACTTCTTCTCAAATTATATTTTCATGGAAAATTTATCGATGGAATTTTCAAAGTGGAGAAGAGGATTTCAATACCTGACTCCCATTGCCTTCCCAGTTATCTGTTCATTACAATTTGAGATTGTTCAGTTTCTTTAATGTTGTCTTTTCTAAGAAGGGAAGGGTTTGCTATGTCAAACACTCATTACTTGACAAGGTATCCTATTTCTACACAATACTAGGGAAAATGCGGTCTCATATACCCTCTAAAATGAGTAACCCTCATACGGGCTAACTTATCATTGAGCCAACAGAATTATAAATGTTACATTTCCATTTGCACCATCAACTGCTTGCTGCACAGCTCTTAATTAAACAGCAGTGAAAGCGGTGAGTGTGTGTGAAAAATGGCACATAGACTGGAATCAGGAGAATAGAGAAAACTGTGAGTAAGAAGCTAAGTAGTCAGCAGATCTGCTGATTTCTTTGGAAAAGATAGTGCAGGGAGGAGTAAAGATAAACAAGACTGCATGCTGATATGAATCAAATATAATCTGCTCTTTCAATTGCAGGAACAACTCACACACAACTTGGACTAGGTGAGATATCTGATGGGACATCTAGGTTGCAATTAAAACACCATAGGTGGCCCATGTCAGCTCACTCGGGCTCAGAGAGCTTATATCGGGGGGCTGTTAAGCTGTGGTGAAGACAGCCTGCCAGATCCCCACGAGTGCACCCCTACCATGGCCAATTCCATAACCATAGGGTTTGAAAATTAGTAATGTCCACATTTGCAGTTATTTAAACCTGAAATTTCATGGTGTTGCAACCATGAGTCCAGACCCAAAAGGAGATTGTGGGGGCTGTAAACCTCTTGTGGAGGGGTCATGGGACTATCACCCTCATTTCTGTGCTGCCTTCAGAGTAGGACTCCCATGCTGCTGAAAGCACCCAAGCCAGAACTTCCTAGATACTATTCCTGGCCGGATCGGGCGGGACAGTACTTACTCTTCCTCTGCCCAGCTGCTCTTGGGTAGCTCTCCTGGCTGCAGAACGCTCTGCATGCCCTGCCCCACACTTTTGTCGGGCTCCCATCACTCTGCAGCTGCATGGGGAAGGGTCACTGTGCAAGGTGTGCCCCCTTCCAGATGCAATTATTAACTTGTTTCAATGAAAGAAAGGTCATGTGAACCTTTGCCACACTCAGGGAGCTCCAAGCAGCACAGGGATCCAACTGCCTCCTACAGCTGCAGGAACCTCAGACAGGAACCTCAGGAATGCTCAGTCTCAGAAAGCATCCTGCAAAGGAGGGAGGCACCCGGAGGTAGCTCTGGTCTGGTCCCCGCCGTTCTCAGCACCAGAGCAGAGTATAGGAGAGAGACAACATCTGTCCCTCCCTTGGCCAGTTAGAGATAGGACCTCTCTTTGCCTGGGGCACTCCTTGGAGACATCAGATTTTATGGGGAAGGGCTTATTGCCTGGTAGGGCCCTCCCCATTTGTCCGAGTTAGCTGACATGGGCCAACCATGGGTATTTAACTGGAGTATAGACATAGTCTCAGAATCACTAGGCAAAGCTGCTACCGAAGAGGAACAAGATAGCCATTCCCAGTGCTTACCTGTAAAAAAAAGTCACATTCCTGTCAGGGTAATAGTCTTTAGCTGCCCATGTGATCTGCATCAGTTCACCATTGAAATTGACTATTGTGATGTTGACGGTTCCTTTCAAACCTGTCTCATTGAAATGACAAACAAAACGATTTCAACCCGAGCAATCCAAAAACATGGCCATACATTTGTTAAGAAACAGGAATTATAACTGAATTACTCCATGTCCACAGATGATAGAAAAAAAAGAGGCAATGTGAAGCCTCGTCAGGCAGGTAAATTAGACTAAAAGATCCAGAGAGGTTAAAAATATGGGTGGAAAATAATAAAATGTCATTGAGATTTGCTAATTTGAAATAGCATGTCCACATTGAGTGGACCCTGAACCGAAGTTAAGGCTGGCCGGAAGCAGTGCCGGCAGGGCATCAGGGTTAGGACTTAAAGTGTGGAGCTGCTGCCTCAGGCTAGCCGAGAGCTGTGCTTAAAGGGACCCGACCCCTACCCCGGACAGACAGTTCTCAGGGTTCCCCGCCTGCTTGTCTAACTCGATGAGGGACAGCAAAGCAGTCCTGGCTTGGAGTCCCCTGAGTGCCCACACTCAGCAGATCACAGCACTCGGCCATCAACCCAGCTGCACTTGCCACAGGCTGCTATCCGGGAGGCTTGATCGGGGGGCTGTCAGGATCCAGGAGGCCCTGTAAGAGAGCTTCCACCCCGAGGAGCCCGCAGAGCCACCCCAGTCCTCCCAATCGGGGGCTCGTGCCCCATTCCTCCCTCACCTCCTTCCACTTACCCCTCCCTAGCCCCCCTTCCTGATGTACAAAATAAAGGACACGTGAGGTCAAAAATAGAAACTCTCTTTATTGAACAAAACTCGGGGAGACTGGGAAAAGGAGGTGGGAGAGGGGAAAAGAGAGGGTGGGAGAGGGGAGGGCAACTAAAATGATCAGGGGTTTGGAACAGGTCCCATATGAAGAGAGGCTAAAGAGACTGGGACTTTTCAGCTTAGAAAAGAGGAGATTGAGGGGGGATATGATAGAGGTCTATAAAAGCATGAGTGGTGTGGAGAGGTTTCATAAAGAAAAGTTCTTCATTAGTTCCCATAATAGAAGGACTAGAGGACACCAAATGAAATGAATGGGTAGCAGGCTTCAAACTAACAACAGAAAGTTCTTCTTCACAAAGCAAATAGTCAACCTGTGGAACTCCTTGCTGCAGGAGGCTGTGAAGGCTACAACTAGAACAGAGTTTAAAGAGAAGTTAGATAAATTCATGGAGG